GTCTCATGCATAGAGGTATTATATATTGTAACACCTATATCTATCTCCTCTGAGAGCTGAAGATGGATTACAATGGATATAGAAAGTCCATATACCCCTGTTAAAATGTTTTTGAGATGTAACCCCCCCCCCAAAAAAAATCAGACTAAGATAAATCACTTCAGAATTTTTTCTACCTTTAATATAAGATATAAGCTATACAGGGGAGAACTAATAACAAGCTTACAATAACATGGTTGCATAAATGTGCATATCCTCTTCTAAGTAGAGATGTGGAAATAACCAATCATGTTCAAATAGATGTTAAATAGTTGTCAGTACACACCTGTCATCATTAAAACGACTGTGATCAAGCCCATATAAAATTCAGCTGTTCTAGCAGGATTTGTCTGACATTACCCAATTGCCTCTTACAGCAAAAGCCATGGTCTGCAAAGAGCTTACGAAGTAGCAAAGAGATCTTATTGTTGTAATGTCAGGAGAAGGGTACAAAAACATTTCCAAGGCACTGGATATACCATGGACCCCAGTGAAGACAGTCAACAGGTTTGAGAAAATATGACACAACAGTGACATTACCAAGAATTGGATGTTCCTCCAGAACTGATGAAGAAGCAAGAAGAAAACTGATCTGAGAAATTGCCAAGAGGCCTACAACAATATTAAAGGAGCTGCAGAAATTTCTGGCAAGTATTGGTTGTATACTACATGTGCTAACGGTGCCCCATATTCTTCGTATGTCTGGGCTGTGGGGGTCAGATGGCAAGATAGAAGCCTTTTTATACAAAGAAAAACATCCATGGCCAGCTACATTTTCCAAACCCTACATGGAGCCTGACAAGGGCATGTGGGAAAATATGTTATGATCTGATGTGATCAAGATTGAACTTTTTGGCCGAATTCCAAAAAGTATGTTTAGTGCAAAAACAACATTGCACATCATCAAGAGTACACTATACCCAAAGCAAAGCGTAGCGGTGGCAGCAGTATGGTTCGGGGCTGCTTTTCTTCAGCAGGAACTGAGGCTTTAGTCAAGGCGTAGGAATTATGAACAGTTTCAAATATCAGTAATTTTGGCACAAAACCTTCAGGCCTCTGTTAAAATATTGAAGATGAAGAGGAATTTCAACATCATAATGACCCAAAGCAAATCAACAAAAGAATGGATTCATGAGTAGAAGATCAAAGTTTTGGAATGGCTTCAAAAGACACTTCAACAAAGTATTAGTTTAAGGGTGTGCACACTTATGCAATCTTGTTATTTTTAATTTTCCCCCTTAAAATATTTCAGTTTGCTTTTCAATTGAATTGCACAGCTTATATGTTATATTAAAGGTGGAATTTTTTTTGAAGTGGTTTATCTTGGTTTGATTTTTTACTTCTCAAAACCCTAGCATTTTAACAGGGGCAGACACACACTAACACACACAATTCTGATAGCACATCTAAATATCATTTCTGCAAATGCTAAATACTAGTTTCAATTCCTGGCAGAGGGTTTGAACTCTATACAATAATAGCTGATGAATCCCAATAAGGAGGCAAAACTGGAACTGTATAGAAATGCTAAAAGCATTCAAGCTAGAAATTTACACTGGGTTCTTGATTTGTAGATCTGTGTTGTGCTCAAATCAAAACATCCATTTTTTCCGCTAAATGTGCCCTGTTTAGTGATTATATTATCTTGAGCCATCTCTGTGCACCTGCTTATAGCTCCCCCCCTTTTCCTGTCACATCTGAGGTAAATCTTCCTGAATCTTGGAAATTTTAAGACAAATATCTCAGCCTCATTTATTAAGCTGAAGTTTCTTTGAATGATTTAAAACACATCTTCCCAGATTTTCCTCCACTTGGGCTAGGCTGCCATTTATGAGATAAGGTGCTGACTGATTCACCTATTACTCTTAATTATGCATAGCTGATCTCTCCACTGTCTACTAGGCTACACAGGCTGTTGACCATTTTCTCCACCCTTTGAAGTTAAAATTGTTGTAGAAAAGATAGCTTTAATGTGATGAATGCTTTATTGAAATAGCTGCATATTTAGGAAATACTACTAATTAACAAATTATAATCTATTAATTATTTTAGAATTCTATAATATTTAGAATATTTTAGAATATTCATTTTGAATATTCAAAAGGAAGCAATTTTATAGCTAACATTTAAAGACTGTATACTCTTACAAAGAAACTAAATCTGTTCCTTTTCAGTAAAGAGAAGTAAAATTTAATATTCAATGTTAATATTCAGTACAATGATTTTAAAACTTCCCTTTATAATTCTTTCCTTTAGCCTTCCTGCTCAGTTCACTAAAATAGCCAGAAAACAGAATTATGATATCTCTAAGGAGTCAATTTTACACATCAATGTATGATACTCCATCAGTTATGAGGTAATTTCACAAGGGCTTTGAGTTGTTTCTCAGTTACAAGAATGGTTGCCTATTCTAATATTATGCAGACCAATGACCACACTTTTTAAAAATGTAACTGCACAATTACAAATTATTGTGATCATACACCATGCTAATCTTTTGTTTGCTTTAACAATGGTTTGTTGAATGAGCCAAAAATAATAATAATGTGGTGAGACGTGCAAACAAGGAACCATGGTTTGTATGGACAAGTTTTGATTTGATCTATTTCTTTTTTGCAGCTGCTATTTCCTGATATTTCTGTGGATTAGTTAAATATTCAGGTCAGATACACAAACAAAGCAAGAAACCATAGACAAAACCCGAGTTTCTATTTACACATGATACTGAAAACTTCTTTAGGATTTAACAGGCAGGGCCGGATTTAAGTTAAGGCTAAATAAATACTTGTCTAGGGTGCCAAAGCTTAGGGAGTGTCAACGCCAACCTTTTTCTGAATCACTCCAAAAATGCAAATCTTCACAATGGCAGGTGAATTATCAGTCAATGTAGCCTAAGGATGCCCTATACCTTGAGCCAGCATTGACTGGTAATCACAGTAAATGGCCAGAATGAAGAAGGCAGTCCAAAATATATGAAGGGCACCAAATTAAATAGTCTCGGTTTGGTCTTTCAAATAATTGACAAATTATCTCCTGAATATGGCAAAGAAATATGGGAAGGCACTTTAAAACTGGTTACACATGGTGGCTTTGCAGAAACTTTTAAAATCAATTTTAATTTCTCTTCCAATACATCCTACAAAACAATTATAATATTCATCCATTAATGTCCATTACCTGACCTGTTTCTTTGATATGTTAGCCAAAGCTGGATAAAATTACTATTTTGGAATCTAACAGGAAGACCAGGGGTTTCCAAGACACCTAATTTTTCCAAGGAGATTGCAACTTTGTTTAAAAAAAGAATTATTCTCTATTCCTCGGTCAATCAATTTATTGATAAATAATATTTTCATCTTGCCTGGAAAAATCTTTATTTCCTATGTCCACCTGACTAATAATGCAAGGCATCAGTTCAAAACTCAGTCTCATTAACTGAGGAAGAAAGCTAGAAAAGAACTGTACAGCATCAGTACATTGATAATTGCAAAATAAAGATGCAGTATCAACTGCTCTGTTATTGGTAAGAAAAAGGACAATAACTGCAATGCACAGGTCTCCTACACTTCTTATATGATTTCACAGAATCAGAATAAAATGATAATATTCTGCCCCTCGAGGTTTTACCGTTGTAACCATGTACATTATATATTAAGGCAGTACCCACCCACTTATAACATATTGGGCACCATGGAGAGCTGTTTCATGGAGGGCAGTTTTTCCACAGTCTGGGCGAAGGATGATTTCACATGCTTATCATCTTACTTATTTTTGTATGTTAATTGTTTTAAAGGTTATTTAAGATTTGTTTTGATTGTTTATTATTTGTTACCTATTACTTAAAGTCATGTCAGTCAGCTGGATAAATTTAATAAAATAAAATAAATAAAACTTGTACAGATTTATTTGTATGCACTCAGCTTTTTTGAAAAAAATATACCCCATTAGTATTTTATGAATGTTTGAAAATAGCATAATATCCTTCCATTATTTCTATTCCATGGGTAAATTGCTACTTTCATCAGGCATAGAGACATATAAGCAGTGTATGATAAGCGGGAACCATAGTTAGAATGCAGTATTACAGGCTAACACTGCCCACAGCTAAATGCTGACATTTGTAATCCTCTCAGAGAGTGCTGTAAAGCACTATGGAGTGGTATATAACTCTAAGTGCTATTACTATAATAGCCTGCTGTAACTTCATACATTGCTTTACAATTTTCAAATGTTTCTCTGTTCTTTGCATTAAAATTGTAGATTATGTACTGAATGAGAATTTTGGTTTTAGAAGATTGATTCTAATTTGGGCCACATAATTTTTAATACATTTTTCATAATTCTTTTATTGAATAGTCAGCATTTTTCAAATCTTATTACACTTACATGTTTAATTTTTAAAAGTTGACACTATTTAAAGGCAGAAATGAAATCATAGTGAGCCATGGTGGCACAGTGGTTAGAATGCAGTATGGCAGGCTACTTCTGCAGACTGCCGGCTGCCTGCAATTTGGCAGTTCACATCTCAACAGGCTCAAGGTTGACTCAGCCTTCCATCCTTCTGAAATCGGTTAAATGGAAGACCCAGATTATTGGGGGCAGTAGGCTGACTCTGTAAACCACTTAAAGAGAGGGCTGTAAAGCACTGTGAAGTGGTATCTAAGTCTAAGTGCTATTGCTATCAGTCTTGAACAAATAAATATACACTGCAAGTTTATTAGTTTTAAATAGGTCTATGACCTGATTAAAGATATTTTAATTGAATAATAAGTTTTAAATTTGCATACATTTACATGCAAATAAATCAGTAGCACTGCATAAAAAGACCTTTTAAAAAAAAGGATGCATGCACTTATCTCACCAGGAATCATGCCAGTTGTGTTGTTTCATTGTTTTAAGGTTTTTTAATGTCATTTATCTATACAGTATCTTTCCAAAACATAGTTCTGTATTGAAATGGAAGAGTACTCTCCAAATTTTATGGATTTCAAAAATAAATAAATAAATAAAGTGTTAGGGGCATATTCCCCCAAGATGCCATCCTGAGCAGCAGGTGGATTTTGTATTGACAAACAGCTGATTTTGTTGCCAAAGTAGGTTCTTTGGCAGCTGGCCCTCTAGATCTGAATGGGAGCTGCTAGGAACAACCCAAGATGACTCTCGGATGACTGTGGACCCTCCTGAGAAGAGGAATTTGAGGATTGCAATTCCTGATAGGGATGGTTGGAGACTTGTGTCTCTGTCTTGCCTCTCAGCTTTTTAAAGTGCGCTTGGGTTTTAGCTGCACTGTTTGAATTTTCTTTTTTATCTTGATTTTTCTCTTAAAATTAATTGTCTGATTGAAGGCTAATTTACTTTAATTCCTTGCTGGATTTTAATGTGAATTCTTTAATGTTTTTCACTGTTTCACTGCTGTTCTGAATTACTTTCGCTTTCTCCTTATGGAAGTCAATAGAGATTTCCTGGGTAGTGGAAGTGACCTGTTTGGATTTTTATTTGCATTGAATTTTCACTACAGGGATTTCACATTTTCTTTATTTTTTTTAAAAAAACCTCTGGTTTAATTTTTTAATGCTTCATGGAAATTATTTCCATCCTTTATTGTGAGAAATATTATCTGAATATTCTTTATGGATACTTTGTTAGAAAGGAACTGTTTATGTCTCACTATAAATGCCCAGTTACAGGGCTATATTGAAAATGAAAACCATGTATCAAGTTATAGATAAAGCTCTCTGGGAAGATTTTGAAAAAAAGATGCTTTTCAACTTATAAAGTCAAATTGAAAACTTTGGTTAAAAGTTTGATGAAATATCAAGGGTTTTAAATCAACTTAAAGAGGATATCCAGACACAAGCAAGTATAGCCTAGCCTAATCAAACCAAACTCAGAACTGGATGGATTGGAATCTAAATAGCTTTTTAAAGATTTAAAGAAGGATCATGATATGGAAACTTCAGGTTCCTTGGAGAAGGTTGAAGGGGATATGGATTCTACAAATTTGGAGTTAACACAATCGATTAGTGATGAATTGGACTTTCTTAAGATTAATGGTGATTGGGAAATGGACTTAACTCTATCTGGAAAACCATTTGGACTGATTTTTTGGGGGGAAAATGAATCAAGAAGAAAGGTTTTGATTTTGGGGCATAAGACACAATTGTTGGGAAAGTTTTCAACCAAAATCTCAAGCAGAAGTTTTATTATTAAGAATCAAATGAGGTTATTTGATCCCAGACAATCATAATGATGATTGTGGTGATTTATGGTAGATAAGAAACCATTGTAGACAATCATAGATTAAATACAATAATAAATTGTTAATAGGGTACTTTGCTTTTGTTTCAGCTTTGCCTTTATACATAGCAGATAGATGATAGGTCACATTGGTTGCAAATAAAGGAAGAAGTTTATACATTTTGGCCTGTTTCACCAGGGAGGTGGGGACTCATTGTTCCAATATATTTATCAATATTGAACTAGAGGAGATAATATAAGTACATGTGTTTTTGCCTTTTGTCTTATTTAATGCACTTTTTAAAATATTTTGTCTATCTTTATTTTGGTTTTGTAAAATTTCTTTTCCTGTTTTTGGAGTTTATATTTTATCTTAATTTTCTGAATAAAATAAAAAATATTTTAAAAAGTACTAGGAACTTTTGATAAATGATTAAAAGCTTAGAGAATATTACAAGGCAAAATTTAAATTAAATATATGAAACAACTGAAGAAGGGATCTTGTGGAACACTGAAATTATCAAGTTAGTCAGTTAGCAGATCAGGGAGGCAATCATAATGACAGAACAAAAACAGCTTTTATGTAATTATTGCTGTTCCCAAGGCAAGCCAGCAGTAGCATGTGAAGAAATCATCTGATCATTAACACATAAATACTTCCTGATACATTAGCAAAAACAAATAGCACCACCAATACTTCAATAACTGTTATGCTTCTGTTTCCAAAACGTTAATCATGCTTCAGATATCTTTATCAAATGTCTCTTAAAACATACTGAAGATTCAAAACAAAAATTAGCCCTATTTAATACAAGTTTAAATGCCTTATGTTTTTTAAGGTTGCATTTACAATATAGCTCACTTGTTGTTTTAATTTTATACTTTAAAAGAGACAAGTTGTCTCTTTAAATTGTAAATATGTCTACAAGCATCTTTTTTCCACATGTATATTTCAGAAACCAGATTTACATGAAATATTTTCTATGATCGGTTTAAAAAGTATTCAGTAATGTGAGATTAAACCAATTTGTTGTTTCAACCATTATTAAAAAAATATTAAATATATCAGTGAGGAAGGCTAATCAAGCTTTAAGAAAACACTTACTGTGATGACAGCTTTACTAAGACAGATTGAGCCTCTGCAGCCATATTCCGTTTCATCTTCAGATTTGTAGTAACTTAGTGTGTTGTTTTTCAATGCCACCCAGCGGTCCTGCCACCCATGGATGTAGTTGGTCCACTAAAAAGAATAAATATGCACTTTTGAATAAAGCAAAATAATGAGCATATTTTTATGTGGCACTATACTCAGATAATAAATGTATTTATTTTCTTATATACTTGCTCAATTTTATTTTAATAAAATGAATCCTGTTTATTCTAAAGGAATGTAACTGCCACCATTCAATATATTAAAAATAACAATTATAAATAATTGTAAAATATTCTTGAACCTTTAGAGAAAACAGAAAATCTTGTAAGAACTCTAAATAAACAAGATTCTGAAAGGCTTATTTTCAAGAAATAATTAAAAATCACCAACATTACTAAAAAGCTTCACAGCTAAGAATACAGGTCTGCTGAATTTGGCAATGAATTCCAGATAATCGTATCACTATAGTAGTGACATTATTACCTCATATACTATATATTTATATAAACTGGTGGGGATCATAACATTTCTAATCCAACATTCGGATTAGAGCAGGGGTGTCAACTCACACTGTCACGGGTATGTCACGTGATGTATCGGGATGTCCCACCGCTTCACTAACCTGGACATGGCCGTGACCTGTATATGACATATCCAGCTTGTGGGCAGGGAGTTTGACAGCTCTGGATTAGAGTATCAGATTACAGAAGGATATTCCTCTGTGTTTTTTTAAAATTTCATATTCTTGTCTAAATATTAGAACAAAAACTATACTATCAGTATGGATACTTCTAGCACAACTATTGTTACCAACAGCAATAATAAATTTGTACATTATAATAAAAGGAATATTTTCAGTTCCCAGGAAGTAACTTCATAGGAATTTTGCAACTGAGTTTAGCAAGCAAATTTCTAACAAATATACACTCTAAGAATTGGGTTCTTAGCTAAATTGAGAGCCTGTGAAAAGAGAAAAAAGAAAAGCCCTTCTAGTAGGGGTGACCTAAGAAATGAACTTCAAGGTGAATATACATTATCTCAGAAGTTATGACTTGCATTGTTTGTGGTATACTTGTGTTCTTGCCTAAAACTTCCTTATCTATTAAGTGCAAACTTATAACAGAGCTTAAAAAAATAAAAAATAGGTTTTTGTTCATAAACTACAGATATCATGCCAGGTTTGGCAATACATTTCTATTCTTTAGATACTTAACCCAATATTCATGTGACTTGCTCACATGTCAACATAGTCTTGCATGAACTGAAGACTGCATTCAATCCTAACGATACGTATGTTCAAGGATTTAAAGCAGTTTTTTCCTCTTGGCTTTTTTCCACGGAAATTGAAATTTCCAATGGAAATGTGGCCACTCAATTTCCAGCCTTGAGATTAGGGCCCACCTGTGCAACATTTATATACTGTAATCTGTGGAATCATTTGCTCCTGTTTTGTCAGTTTTAGCCTTAACAAGAAAAGAGAACAAAAATGCATTAGATCAAACAAAAAAAATGTAACCATAGAAGCTATTCTCAGCAAGGAAAATTAAACAGTCTAGTGGATGAAAACTGGAATCAGAAAAACAAAGTATTAACTGTTGGGCTTGCCTAGAAAAAAACAGACTTTGATTCTTCAAGAGAAAAAGTAGTATTCTGCTGAACAGAAGACAAGAAAGTGAATCACTTAAAAACAGATAAGATACTGTTGTGTTCTGCAAGAAAGCAAGCATAAGAGCTGTGGAAATTGTTGATTGTGGAGAGGGATTCCCAGTATCGGCATCAGGAAAATTAGCTCATGAAGTGTGGTATCTGTCTGGATCACAGAATATGAATGTTCAAGACTGATCAATTCCACTGAAAATTATTCCATCCCCCTAATCTATCTGTGAATAAATTACATTGCAAAATAACCAACACATTCATATCCCCATAATTGTGAAGACCAGAGAACCTGGACGCTTCCAATTCATGCAAGGTGAAAAACTAGTTGGGCAAAAGGTGTTGATAGGATATTTGGTTTCTGAGATTTAAGATCAGAGGTTTTGTCCTACTCTTGGGCTGGAGTCAACTGATAAACAATTTAAAGTAGAAAATTTATCAGGCAAAGAAATGGTACTGAATATGAGGAAATTCTATTTCATATTCCACTTGATAGCTTAAGTGGAAAGTAGCTATCTGTCTAGGTAATGGGAAGATACAATAGAAAAAACAAACAAACACCAAGGTGCAGGTTAGGATATAAATGAAGGGGGCAGTATCGATAATGTCTTTGGGGGGTGGGTATGCGTGTTTTCCTTTAAGGCAAATAGAAAGACAATATCCAATTCCCAGCCAGTAGCAGGGCTGGATCTAATGAATTTGGACTGCATATTAGGTTCAGTGAAACTCGGAGACTGGAGGCTAAAACATATGAAGAGGTATGTCTAATTTAATTGAAAGAAGGACTGTGTGTGTGTGTGTGTATGTATGTGTGACATGATAGCACTGTTCCAGTATCTAAGTGGATGCCACAAATAAGATGCTGCACAGCATCTGAAGGCAAAAGCAGCAATGGATGGAAGCTAATCAAGGAGAGAACCAATTTAGCAATGAGAAAGTTCCTGACAGAAAAATTAATCAGTGGAACAGTGTGCCTTCAGAAATTGTGGGTGCTCTTATCACTAGAGATTTTAAAGAAGAGATTGAACAACCACTTGTCTGAAATGGTATAGGGTCTCCTGCTTGAGCAGAGGATTGGACTAGAAAACCTCCAAGGTCCCTTCCAATCTGTTATTTTATGGTTGAAGTCCAGCTCTGTACACATGTTCTGATGTCTGAGAGATTATTGGGCTGAAGAAGAAGCAAGGTCCTGAGCTCATATTGATTGAAATTAAGCATCTTTAAAAAGCAACTCTTCTTTTTTCCCCTTTTTCTATATTTATGTAAGTCTTTGACCTTATTTTATATAATGCATACAACATTTAAAATTCTGAATAAACTAGTAGTGCTCCTTCCAAGAAAACATTCTATCCTTTAGCAATCTTCAGAGACCCAAGCTAGTGCAATCGATGTGTGTTCACACACTCATTATAGGAATAATTTGAAAGTATCTAAGTACAAATTAAATAGAGTTCTACCTGTAGCTAAAGTTCAGGAAAGGCAGTGTTTGTAGTCCAAGTCAAGGTTCACAGCAAGTTTCACAGATAAGACAGAGTAGCATGTAAGTAAAGTTAAGATCATATGGGATTCTAATTCTAATACCAGATTATACTCAGATAGGAATTTCATTGGGAATTGCCAGCTTCCACTTCAGCATAGCTGATATTGAACCACCCCGATTTCCAGAATGTGGTAATCCCTGAATAGACCTCCCTGTGCCCAATGCTTCTCTATAAACTGAGAATTCTTCTCTAACTTCCCATTTTCTAACTTTTCACACAGAACTAGTAGTGTTTTCATAGTTGGTAGATGAACCTTCAGTTTAAAGATGGAATTACACACACCAGAAGGACTGGTTCCTAATACCATCTCACCTCTGGTACAACAGGTAGGGCTTCTGTGTCTGATTGCCTGATTATTTTGTTTCGGTTCTTATCCTCATCTGGAGTTAGATGAGGTTAAGGACTTTAGAAAGAAGCAGGACAGTTACCTGGGTGATGGCCTGCTGTAATGAAGTGATGTATACTGTAAATAAATTTACCAAAATATTATTGAAACATAGTGAATTGGATTAGGAGATCTTTAAAATGAATCTTGAATAGGCTGGAGTAGGCTAAACCTTGGAAGTGAAAACCTTGAATGTCACATAGAAACCCAGTAGCTGTTTCTTTATCACCCCAAAGCAATAAATTTAGATTATAGGAAGAAATTTTGAATGAGCATTCAGAAAAATTTCTAAGCACTACAAGGGGCAACAGTGCAAACATTTATAATGAGGAAAGAAGTCCTCTTTAATGGATGTATGCAAGCATATATGTTGTGCTGGACTATTTATTGTGAAAACTTTAATTTGGATTCTTGCCCAGAATAAGGTATGTGATCCAATGACGTAAATATTCTTTTTTAATTTTATGATTTTATATCTACTAACTATATAGTAACATTTCCACATTATAAATGTGGGCACAGAATGAAGTGAGCTTTGTTTAAATTATATGATCCATTTTACATTAACTTGTACAGCATTCTGCAAGCTACATTATGGAATGCATAGCATATTTATATATAAGCATGTGATACATTTGACATTAGTACTATTTTAATTATAATATAAGCCTTGTACTCACTTTTTGTAAATAATTTCATATAGTGATATACATGGCTCAGCTTCAAAACCTTAACTGGAAAATTCTTATAACATGCCAGACCTCAGCAGCACACACTTTCATCAATTGGAAGCATGTATCCCAATTACTGTCTTATTTTTGCCTTCTGTTATTAAAGCCTCCAACAAGTAGACAGACTAGTCAATATTTTCCCTCTTAGTCAGATACACAATCTAGCACTTTTTTGCAGTGATTTTCATATCCAACTTGGAAGATATTAGGTGCTTATGTTCTGACCATAGGGGGGTAAACTGTTCCACAATTAAGGGGTTAAACAGAGAAAGTAAATTTCCAGATACCAATGTCTTTATTATGGACTCATCCTCTGATTCTGAGACTGGAGAATGAACATACAAATAAGTGTGTTGGAAACAGGCTAAATGAGTTCTGCTTTTGCTATTCAATTAGGTGTAGGTCACCTCTTTGATCTTTCAAGGAGTGGATACTTGCAGCATTGTGTCCTGACCAGATTGTGTATGATGGGCAAATCCTGCCTGGGGAAGATAGGTTAAGGGACGCATGGTCTTTAATATCAGTGCTTTGTTCTTGGCCATCTAACACCGTATAGTGACAAGTTAAATTTATGACATGCTCCATAAAGTTATTTAAATGCTACAGTATAGGCAGCCTATCAATTCTTGATCATTTATAGTAATTAATATCAAGCTACAATTAGTTGAATCACAGTTCTTAAGCAATACAATTGTTGCAGTTTGTGCAAAACACTGAATTATAAACCAATTACATTGGCTGGGTTTATATAATATTTAACCACAAAATAGTCAACATATTTTAGCTTTAGGAACCCCTCCAGAATACTATATTCAATGGACTATATTAGACTATAATAGACTGAACTCTTAATGTTATAAGATTATATACAAACATGTGGGACACATGTTGGTATATAAAAATATTCCTTGAACAATTATTTGTCTAACATTTTTTGAAGAGCCTTTTCTGCAATGGTCCCTGCCCGTGGAACATTCTGCCACTGGAGGGGAGATCTGGCATCACCTTTTTGGCCTTATGTAAAGGCCTTAAAACCTGGTTTTGCAACCTGGCTTGAGGCCCTGATGGGTGAGCTCTTTGTTAGAGGTGGTTGACAGGATAAGAGAGAAGACCCTGTGCTGTTTGTCCCTGTGCCCTTAGATTTTAGTTCTTATTTAAGTAACAATAGAAGGGATTACTTATAGCTTATAGTTTAACTGTGGGGTCCTTGAAGCTCTCTGAGCTTGGTGTTTTTTTACAGACGCTTCATTACTCAACATTGCACTGATGTTATCTATTTGGGTAATGAAACATCTGCAAGGAAGCAATCAAGCTCAGAACACCAAGGATCCCACAATCTTATTCAAGGCTTAATTTCAACTCTTTTTATGCTTATTTTTATCATTTTGTAAGCTCTCCAGAGTTGTATTATTTATGACTTGAGTGGCATATAAATTTAATACATAAAATATCTGAAAAACACAGAGAAGTGGAATACAAAACATGCAGCAGATGCATAAGCAAGAGTATTTCTTTAGAAAGTTTCCCCTCTAATAACAAAGCAGGTTCAGCATACCATTAGTTTACAGAAGAGAGGGGACTCTGGGCCTTTGCTCATAGATCATCCTCTACTTTCATATTTGGAAGTCCTAAGAAAATGGTAACTGAAAAAAGCAAAGCCTCTTCCCTTTTCCATAGGCCTTTTATGTTGGACTTTTGAGATTATGACCCTAAAAGCAAGAACTTTCTCTTTTAATTAATCTAGGAAATTGTTTGGTTAGGAAAAAGCTTAGGAAAGTCTAAAGTCTAAAGTCTATTACATGTGGATGGTTCAGTAGGAAAATAATTTAGTTATTACTATTATTTATATGCAATTCCATTTCCAAAAGGCTCCAGACAGCTTTTTGGAATTGAAAATTTAACACTTTTAAAACTCCTCCTTAGTCCAAGAAAACTATAAAAGACCTACATGATATGGGAAGAGAATACTCTATTTGAGGAACCCCTTCTCCCAAAAATACTTGCCCACGCCACATGCTTCCACAGATTCCGTGGAAGTCTTCCACTTCTTCTGTTCTTTTTAAAAAAGTCTTGTCATCTTATGGGATATAGAAAAATATACATTTTTCATGGTTATCCCTGGTCTCTGGAATGATGATCCTATACCCAATATATGACAGGTTCCAGCCCCAAACATTCCTTGTCTTTGGTAAAGCATTTAAGATCCTTGGCTCTTCTCCCAAGTGTTAGGGGTTGGTTGAATGGCAGTCCGCTTCTATTTGTTTTGCCCTGTACTTGATTGCCATTTTACATTTTAGCTTTTGTATTTATATATTGTTTGCTGTAATTTCTGTTTATGATGTACACTGCCTGATATATCTTGAAATAAATAAAATTATAATGCAAATATTTGGCGTGTCAAAACTAATATAACTTTGAGATAAAGTTGCTATGAAGTGCTTAAGAGAGTTTAGAAGATTAAGAAATTTCCAGAAGTATCATTTCAGAATTTAATGAGTATACCAAATAGATCATAACTGTATTTTCAAGGAAATATCATGAATATTGGATGACAGAATTGTGAATTTCTGTGAATTCTTTAAAATTTTATTAACAGGTAAGTACATTTAATGAAATGAGAAGAACAGCTTGTAAATATGTGTAAATATTGATCTGAACTAAAGAGAAAAGGCACCATTACTATCTTATTCATTCTGAATTATCTGCTTTGAATTTACTAAAAGGTAAACAAAAGTATTAATAAAAATATGCAAGATAATATGGATAGATAAGACATTGTGAAGTTCTTGGAATACATACTGCAGTTTTTTCCATCCATTCTTTACAACTGCAGTCAAACCAAGCTGGTACAAAGAGCAACAACTATGATAAGGCACATTTAAAATGCCATACTGATTTTGTCCACTTTTTAGATTTCTGCCTGTTCTTATGAGCTCAAGCTGTTATGCTGATTATATTTTTAAATTTATCCTTCAACCAACAACCTGTAAAATAAGATTTAGATGAATGGCTTCAGGTAACTTGGAGAACTCCAACACCAGGTGTGGACATCAACCCAAGTTTTCTTCATCCTAGTCTAGTACATCATTCTTGAGTTAAGCCAGTTACACATTTCTAAGGACCATGTATAGTAAAATGCTACAACTTAATGAATACACTTTTTAGTTTTTACTTGAGGTTTTTGAGCTCTTAGAAAAATCTAAGGGAAAGCCTTCATTATAATAGATCAGCAGTGCTCCCACTATTCACCATTACAAAATACCAAACTATATCTGAAAGAGAGCTTGTCTACATTTTTAAGAATATTTGAAGGAAACATGTAAGTTATTAGCAAATAATTGCACTGACTAGATTTTGTTTATACCAGTGCAATTCACAAGCCAGTGTTTCTAAAAATACATTGTTTCCTAAACTATTTGCTGCACTTTTAAAATAGGAAATTTTAGAGTTGCAACATTTTCTCCCCAGGATGACTTTCAGAAAAAGTGTAAGATTTCCTTTAAACTATGGTCAGTATTAAATGACTTTATGGATAAATTAACATAGTTTTCTTGGCATCAATACAAAACTCCTTGCCATTGCCTTTTCTGTTATTTCCCCTCCCCCACCCCCAAACTTCTAATCCAAGTGATCTCTATCTAAGTAGCGACCATGCCCATCCCTTTTAATTTCAAAGCAAAGATTCATAATACAGATTAGAGAGCACAGAGACTGAAATCTGAAAGGAAGAGCTACTTCTACTATCTTCCAACCAGCCTCTTTTATGACACTATTTGATGCTTTGCCCAAAGGTCACACTCTTGTCTGATATTGCCACACTCCGTTATTAATTGCAAACGCACATAATTTTTCTTCCCCTTATTAAAACAAAAAATAGAAAGAAATCTTGGGATTATTTTTGTTTTGTTTCAGGGGACAACAATGAAGTTAGCTTTTCCTTCATATATATAACCTGGGCAATCCCCTCAGCAAAGGTGGTCACCAAAATATTTAGTCAACCAAGCAATGGTTACAAGTGTGGTCTGCAACAGTACTCTACCAGGCACTTGCAAAGAGAGGGATAAATAAGAAAAAAAATGCCTCCTTTTAAAACAAGAAAAAATAAATAAAAGGAGACGCAGGCGTGTAAGTTATTTTAGCAAGTCTTTCAAGCAAAAATAAATAAATAAATAAAAATCCGGTAGCCATCAAGGAATTTCCCCAGGAAAAAGGGACATTTCAGCGAATGCATCGTTTCGGAGACAAGCAGCCCATCTTCGGATAAAAGATCCTCGGCGTCTTTTTTTTTTCTCGACTGCGGCGGCGACGAAGCGCTTCATCCCAATACATACTTGCATTATACATATTTTACATACACACCCCGGGCTCCGGAGGTGGGCGGCGGAGGAAACGTGCGGGGACCTCCCGTGGACTAGGAAGCAGTCCGACAGCAGGCCGGCGCCGCCCCCGGGCGGTGGGCACCCGCGAGGTGACTCAACGTCAGGCTCTCTCCGTTGCCTGCCAGAGCTTCTTTCGCGGAAGGTGCCGCCCTGGCCCCTAAATGCCTTCACAACCCCCCCACCATTGGGGGGGGGGGAGAAACTCCCCCCCCCCCAGCAGCTCAGGTAAGGCAAAGTGGAGATCCCTAAGGCAGAGACGGTCGTCCAAGCTGAGCCCGTGGAGCCACAGCGGCGGGGAAACGAAACGAAGGGGCTTTTTAAAAATAATAAACATTATTATTACCTTGCTGAGGATTCCACAGAGCTCAACAGGCGCCCCCGACTCTGTCTCGGGATCTTCTTCTGAGCCGGAGGAATGCCAGCTTTGGTTGTCCGACATGGAGGCACTTCCCTCTCCGCTCTTTCGCCGGAACGCCGAGACCACCGGAGCTCTCGCTCTCTACCTGCTTTAAGACGCTTCGCTGCTCCGGAGCCGCTACTGTTGCTACGTCGCCCCAGCCTAAGCCACCTTCCAGAGCCCTTCCGTCGCTCGGTCCCCTTCTGGCCACCGCCGGCACAGCAGCTCGCCCAGCTGCCCCACACCCTTCCGCGCACGCCGGTAGCCCTGACCATGAGCAAGCAGCCTTTCCGCGGAGCCGAACGCGCCTCTTCCCCTTCCCCACACTCAGATCAAGCTTGTGGCGGCAGTTGTTGCAACTAGTACTACCACCTCCGCCGCCATCTTTCTCGCTACCCCTCCCTTTTTTTTTTTTTGCCAAGCCCTTTTAACGCTTCTCACCAGACGGAGTAATCCTTTAGGACGAGAGCATACTGGGAGTTGTAGTCGATTGAAGGTGTTTGGCGGCGCACCGCCTCCTGGGAAAGCGGGCGAGGCGGCCGGCGTTAAACGTCCCCCCTTGAATTCTCCAGGGTTTCCTGGTTTGTTGCGTTGGGTTTCCTTCCGCAAAGTACCGGTGTCGCTTCTTTTCTCTCTGTCACTTTTTTTGAAAACACAATTGGTCGCCATCTTGCTGCGACTTAATTATTGCGGAAACGGGGGCTGGTGAAGCTTCTTGGGACTGAGGTGTGTTGGGGAACTTATGGCTGCGTTATATGTCATTAGGAAGGAACTGGTTGTGTGGGAGTTTTTTTTTTAACCACCTTTGCATGGGTTTTAGATTTCCCCTACTACGCCATCCTCCTAAAGGGGATGATTTACATTCTTGCACCACTCTTTCATATACACACTTAACGCGAAAGAAAGGCAATGAGCATTTTGCTTTTTTTTCGTAGCTGAAACAACTAGTTGATGACTTACTTGGTGGAAGCATTGTAGATCTGGAAATATATGAAACGGGGAGGGAGGGAAAGCTACCTGTGTTGCTAGTTCCAAACAGAGGGAGTCGAAATTGCAACCTAATGCGAATTTATTCAAGAGGAAAAGTTCGTTTTTGAACTTATCAGGGCTTATAAAACATCTGAAATCGATAAAAGATAATGTTACCCTTGCTATACTGCGAGTCACAGAAGTTGATTTAGGGTTAATGTGTTGATGCTCTGGCTACTTTTGTGTGTATGGACGTTTTGGCTTGGACTAGACGTTGAACATACTTCAGATTGTAGAATTAGTTTAAATCAGACAGATTCATAAAATGGAATCTTGTAGAAACACCATATGTTTACAATTGAAACCTAGTTCGTTCACCCCAAAGCTGTCCTCATTACCGTAAGAGTTTTTTAGGTAACATAAATTTGCTTTCTGTTATTAAATAGAAATCATAAATCCTTTTGATCTATAGCTTAAGGTTCTACTGATAACTTTGGTGCAGAGCACACATGGTTAATGGAGAGTAACGATACATAATGCCTCTTGTTGCAGTAGCTGTCTTTTCACAAATACTTTGTCATCAGTGTTTAACGGATAAAGCACAAGGCTTATCTGACTGGTACTGCCAGGCACAACGTCCAAAACTTACTGCAATGAAATTACAACCCCTGTGAAATATGTGAAAATCTAAGCTATTTTTCTCCCTTGAAAATCTTATTAGGCTTGTTAGAGCTAAATAAAAGTACTCTGAAGACCTCCCATTCTCAGTCTTCAGCTGTGGCCTGTATTCAATCAGCATGTATGCCTCCTGAAACACAGGCAATTCTAGGCAGTTTATTTTAGTTTAAGGACCATAAGATAATAAAAATAAGCAAACAAGACCAACAATTCATTGGGGAAAAGAATAGAACGCAACTTGATCATGATCGTAAGAGTGATCTATTACCAATGAGTGAATCATAATTCATAGGCCTCTGGCCTGTTGAAAGATTTTAAAATTTTGCAAAAGCACAATACAGTTGAGACTGTATAGCTATGTAGCCACAGAGCCCGTGAAAAAAATTCCAGAGAGATACTTTTCAGAATTCATTGATGGTTGCTTAAGTACAGATAGGCCTCAACTTACAACAATTCCTTTAGTGACTGTTCAAAGTTACAGATTACAATGGCACTGAAAAAAGTGATTTATAACATTTTTTTCACATGACCATTGCAGGCTCCCCACGGTCACATTATCAAAATTCAGATCTTTGCTGTAAGTTGCGGGCTATTTATACATCATCAATGTTGTTTCAACGTTATTTAAAGGATTCATTGGCTGATTGGCTGATTCAAAAGAAATTGCATGTGTATCCAGCAGCTAATGCTAATGAAAGGTCTATACAAACAACAAAAATATCTTTCAAAGTAGCTGTATATGGTTGCTTTAAGATTTCAGGAGTGGCGGTTCAGTCAACTAGTGCTTTGTAAAGTAGATCCTTTGAATGCTTCCCAAAGCCATACCATAACATGTCATATATGAGTAGTTTTAGTTAAAAAAAAACCTGGATGTAGACTGGCACTGGTCTGCAGTTTGCCAGGAACTGGGCCATGCAAGGAATGAAGCCCCCTCCCCCCTCTGGAAAAACTGGCCTCCACAAAACTGGTTCCTAGTGCTGTAAAAGTTAGGGGTGGGCACTGAATCTGACCATGGCCATTACAGACATAATTGAAAATGGAGGGTAGGAACTATATCAGCTCTTGATCTCATTCCAGCAAGGTAGTTCTTATTTATATGTAAAAAACCAAAAAATGAAAATGTCTTGATTTAGGAAGAACTAATGTGATGTGGTTTGACTACGGATTCTGAGGGAGTAAATAACAATTATATTTTTTGTGCTTTTGCAATTATCTTCAATCATTTTTATCCCTTGCAACATCTTATCCTTTTCCTTCTCTTTTTCTTCCTTATTGATCTCGGTTTTGTTCGTGCTTCAGCAGTTGCCTAAAATATCCATTCTGTGTCTGGCTGCATTTGATAAACCTCTTAAAGATATTGGCAAGTTGGTTTGAAAGTGTTCATTCCTGCCTTTAGGGAATTGGTGAGGTAGGTAGAAAACAAGTTGGATGAGTTAAATTAAGTTTCAGGAGATGGTGCAGTTTCTCTGAAAACTGCAATCCATCATGGAACAATGTTCCAATAGCTTTGGCCACAAAGAAAAAAATATTTCCAACTGCAGATATATTGTTTATGTTAGGGTTTCAAAGTCAATAGCATTAGTTTCAGTTAACACGCTTAAAAGATTACATAGGATGAAATCTGCATACTTTAAAGATTTATGTTTCTATTTGATTTGAAATGTTCTTATCTGCTGTGTAACTGCAAATAAACATTACAGAAGACTTAATACAATTAGCCAGCAGTCTCCACTGCCATTGATCGTGATATTTTTCTGGCCCATTTCAGGAATTGGGAGTAGAAAATGTAGCACTAGACTGATTTTCCTCCTTTCCCTGAAGCTGGTTCTGCCTTAGGACTCTTCCCCTCTCCCCACTCTTATTTAACATCTACATGAAACTGCTAGATAAAATAATCAGATGACATGGCTGCAATATGAGATCATTGATGATAGGCATTTGTATTCCCCTAGGCCAGTGATGGTTAACCTTTTCGGCAACAAGTGCTGAAACTGGAATGCGCACGTGCCAGAGTGCGAGAACCCAGAAGAGAGCAGCTGGTCAGACAGTTGTTCTTCACACAAAGACCAGCTGGCTGGCATGCATGTGTGTGCCAGAACCCAGAAGAGAGCAGCTGGCATGCTGGATCAGCTGGTCAGTGGGCATGCGTGCAACAGAACCCAGAAGAGCAGCTGGCAATGGTGCACATGCCNGTTATGGGATTCCTATGGTATCGTGAGATTATTTCATTTATGTGGCTCCTGTCTATATAAGGTTGTACAATTTATTGGATATGTGCATTGTCTTGGTCCCAGTGCAAATACTGACCATTAAATTATTACTCTGGACTCCATCATTCATAGAATTTGTGCATTTGCTTACGACAATGAAATTGCTTTCAGACTGATTCTCCCTATTACGTTGTTTTTTAACCAGTTGTTTTACAGTGTTGTTTGGGGAGAAAGAAGATTTTATACCTGGAATGTTATGTTCATAACTAACAAAGTTGCAATTATGTAATTTTCATTGATATTATTCAAATATTCTCCCATTCACTACTGCATTGGGCCACAACCAAAGATTGTTAACACTTACTCCCTCAATTAGTTACTCACTTAATCTTTCCACCTACGTTCTCTTCAACATAAATTATATCTATTGCCTTGATTTTTATCTGGAAGCTGGCTGCAATTAGTGACAGTGACTCAGATATTAGTAAGAATTAGCCCTGATTTTTTTGTGAATAAATATAATAATTTGGGTGTAATCAAAGGATGTGAATGTATTGTATATATTTAGTAAGAGATTTATAATAATTAAGAGAAAGACGTTTGCTCTTACATTGTTTGTAGGCAAAATTTGAAACCAGCAATTAGATAATGGCCAAATAATAGCTGGTTACCTTTTGGCGCGGAGGGGGGGGGGAGATGGTCCTTTGTATAGGATTCAATTGTTTCATACTAGAAAAGTTAGGAATACAAAAATAAAAACTAGTTATAGAAGACTGTATCTTGGGAAACACTAATAACTAATGGTCCTCTAAAAAGCTAAGAAATGTAATGTTGAAAGGAACTTTGGAAGTCATCCAAATCCATGACAGCTGTTCAACTTCTGCTTAAATTCTTTCAGTAAAGAAGAACACATTACTCTTTAATTTTTTTTCAGCTTTTCTATCTTCTGGAATAACAGAAGTCTGGAAATCAGTCTGAATTGGTCTGAAATTATAGATTTGCTATTCTGTCAATGGATATGATTAAGAGCTAACACAAACAAAAATATTTAAAATGAAAAGTGATAAACACCCCATGAGAGGCAATGCTATTTAAATAGCATACATTTTAATGTAAAGCAAATAAATAATGAAGCTGAATATTATCCAAGCATAGCTCAGAGACTGTATCTAGAAAGGCCTGCAATGGCCTGTTCAGATGAAGTTAAATAAGATTGCAGGAAAGAAGAACTTGGCAAATGAAGTCAAGGGAAAGTAAATGAGATAATTTCCCTCTTTCTTTTCCTTTTTGCTCAGTGATTTTCTTCTTTCAGTCCAGGCAGGTCTTTACCCAAAGAAGCAGTTTTTGGGAGCTTGAGACCAGGTTAGGTTAGGTTTATTAAACTTAAACCAGAGAAGGCAAGAAGCAAGTTTTGCACCTGGAAGTTGATAAATAACTTAGATAGGAAAGTGCAATTGGTGCTCAAAATCCTTATTATTCATGCAAACTAAATGGGATCAGAGCAGCAGTGACTGATAAGGAAAGAGATTTTGTGGTAGTGCTAAACAGTTTCATCAAGGTGTCAACAGAGTGTGCATCCATTCATGTTAGAGATAATTAGAAATGGTATTAAAAATAGAAATGCCAATATATTAACACATTTATAAAAATCAGTGGTGTGTGTGCATTTGAAATATTGTGTATAGTTCTAGTCACTGTACCTTAAAAAAGATATGATGGAATTATACAAAATGTTGAAAAAAGATTAAGACATAGTAAGATAAAGAAATTGAGAGGAAGATTTACACTATTCATTATTCTTTACTATGTTTTCTGTCCATGCAAATGAGCCTTGCTTTTAGGAGAATCTTTCAAACTCCATCCCATTGCAGTCATCCATTTGTTTCAGTTCATTGAGTCATCCTGCATATATTTGTTTCTCGTTTTAATCCTCATAATATCTATATTAGTGTTTTGTGTTGAAGTACGCACTTCCTAAAGTTGCCAAGTTTGAAAAGCCCTGGTCTATATGACCAAATCACTCATTTTACTGCTTTCATACTGGTCACTCATTTTTTAATTTAACCCACATTCATAGTTGATAAGAGGCAGGTGACAAAATGTTGCCTTGGAAAGTTTCTATTCTAGAGATATTAGCTTACATTGTTTTAGCACACTTGAGATAAAACTAGGTATTGGTTGTGTTTGTGGTATACTGGCCAAAATATAACAGAACTATCCAATATTATGACTGATATTATGACCTCATATTAACATGGAATACTGAATGAGATATAGATATGACAGTTTGGTAACCTAGCCTCTACTTTGCATAACCAAAAAGTATTATATTTTTTATATTTATCTCCCTGTGAAATAGCATTTTGTGGAGTGGTATCTATTATGGAGCTACTTTAGGATTGGGCACCCATAATACCTATGTTTTGATGGTACCCATGACACTGCCACAAATATATTCTTTATACTCAGCTTTCATCTCAAATCTGGATTACTTCGTCTCTTATATAATATGTAATTGAAGCTGGAAAGTGATAATTCTTTTTTGTTTCTATTTGATTTTTCCCTGTTTGATTGTAGGCATTGCTCCAAACATGATGTTGGCAAAAATGTGCAGTGATAAAAATAAACCTAATGGCCAATATAGAATCCCTCCAGAAAGAGATGCTGTGATGGACTTCATCAAAAATTTAGCAATTAGAAAGGTGAAAAAATGATTTATTTAATGTTACTACTTTTATGAATGTTGTATTCAGGAAATAGTGTTGGTGTCTTAATTTTTTTACCAACATTTTATCTTCTATTTCTGCCACTGTAAAATATTATACTGCCCTCTATGGTCATGTGACTGCATTTTGGACAGTTAATAATCAGCTCATATTTACAACTGGTTGTGTCCTGTGGTCACATAACCATGATTTGTGATTATCTGCCAGTTGCCAGCAAAAAAATGCCCTTTCGGGAGGGTGGATTGAGATTTACAACTACATTTCATGTAATGACTGTTATGATTTGCTTAATGACTGTTCTAACAACTGGTCAAAAAATCAGTTACTGTCGCATAGTGCCTTACTTACATATGTCAATACATACAATACAACAAATTCACCAGTTATGTGCAGCAGTTTACCAAGTTATGTAATAATTTCTGTTACTTTAAAAAACGCTCAGTTTCCAAGGTGATTGTTAATAATAGATGACAACGGGATATATATTGAAACTGTTAAAATTAAATTTTCACATTAAAACTTCCTGTTTCACTGGTATATAATTCATTCTCATTTAGGTACCAGGCATAGGAAAAGTAACAGAGAAAATGCTAAAGGCTTTGGAAATAGAGACCTGCACAGAACTGTACCAGCAGAGGGCTTTGATTTCTCTTCTATTTTCTGAAACATCCAGCCATAATTTTCTTGAAATCTCTCTTGGTTTGGGTTCCACACACTTGGAAAGGTATTTTATACAAAATGTACTTATCCTTATTTTACTAGTTTTCTAAATATTTCATTAATTGGTTGCATTTCACATGAAATTAATAACTATTATTCAAGTTTATCAGTAATCTAGCCTAGTTTTTATTCTAATTCCCAGTAGAATTTNTCTACCTACTTACCTAACTCTCTCTCTCTCCCTACCTACCTACGGTATTTCTCTCTCTTCCTCTCCCTCTCTATCCCTCTATCTACCCACCTACTTTTTTTATTTGCCTCTTCAAAACCTTGGTGCATCTTATACTCCGGTGCGTCTTATACTCTTAAAAATACAGTGGTATGAAATGTCTTAACCAAAATATTGCACAAAATATTTATATGTCTAAATACTATATAATTCTGACACAGTTCAGTGTACCTATTTGATTTGTTCTTTGGTGATTCCTATTTTCTTCTATGCTCTAAGGCAGGAATGTCAAACTTGGTCACGTCACATGACGTATCGCGACATATCTCAATAGTTTTTGCCTTTGCGGAGCTAGGGTGGGCGTGGCCTGCATGTGAAACATCTGGTCCATGGGCCACCTTCTCTAAGGAATGCCAGTTTACTAATTCATATAACAAACTTGGAGGTCAAAGTCCTTTGTAGGTGCTTTTCTAATAATCTTCATAATGTAAATATAATTAAATTGAGTTGTATCTGGCTTAAATAATTTTAATCTCTTGGCAGGGTTCTAGATTTTATGAAAATGAACTTAAGAAAGACCAACAGGTTAATAAACGGATTGAAAAAATGCTGAAACTAAAAAGTAAAATTACAGAACAACAGATTTTGAAAGCACAATTGCAGGTAATTTCACTAAAGATCTTAAAAAGACCAGCCAATTAAGAAAAAACGTGGAACGTTTATGCCATTTAACTTAATTCCATTCTGCATAGGTTTGCTTGATTTAATCTGAAATAACTAGTATATCTTAGGGCTTAGAATATAAAGGAAGTCCATGATGCCAGCCTCACATATTAGCATGCTGTTAAGATAAACTTCAATGTAAGGTTTGCTATTTAAGTCAACGTAAGTCACTTTGGTTTGTGACTTACTGAATCCTGCCAATCTTCTTTGTCTAAATCAGGAGTTAGCAACCTTAAACACTCAAAGAGACACAAAGGTCCTAACCAGAAGCCTCCCATTCAATTCTGGAGCTGACTGGAAGTCTGGTTTCCCCTCCATAGAATGTCCTAGCGCAGCATCCTCTTCCTCTACCTGTTCTAACCAAAAGCCCTATCAATTGTGGAGCTCACCAGAAAACCCGTCCCTTGCTATAGAGTCTCCTGGCATGCCCTGCTTCCCCCCCCTCCCCAAAAAAACCAGAAGCTCCTCTCAAAATTGTGGTGACAGGGAGCCACAGCAGAGGAATGAAAGAGCCACATGCAGCTCCAGAACTGCGGGTTGCTGATCCCTGGTCTGAACTCTAGGAGCTCTGGCTTTCTGTTGTGGTGCTTCAACTAGTGTTTCTGGGGCTCCTGACTGTCAACTTTTAAAGCCCCAGAAGCTTTTATATTTCTGTACAACACTTTATTCACATAACTGTGGTGCTGGTTTTAAATACAGCTCCAATGTTTCCAAGAAGTATGTGGGCAGTTTCTCAAAACTATATGATTATGGTGGGTTTTACTAGTATCCTGTGTATGTAAAAATGTTATATTATTTTGAAATTAAATGTTGGATGTTTCTACATCAGTGATGGGAAGATGTATATTTTCATCAATTACATAGTATTCCAAAAGACAAAAAGCTCTTGGAAAAAGAGCTTGGTAGCAGTTAATTGTGATTATAGTAGAGCTTCATGTGAGTTACATTTAGTTCTTGTTTACTCATACAAAGAACAGCATTGAGGACATTAAACAAATTAACCAGGAGAGCCATAAAGATAATCACAGCATAATTACTGCATTAAACATGCCACTTTCTTATGCCACAGCAAATTAGTTGAGAGCCTTTTTGAAATGATCCATATCATGGTTGGTTCATGTGAGGATTTCTGTTACTAAGGATACAAATTAAAAATTAGTGTGCAAATTATTCCACATTATTGCAGATGGAAGACTTTGAAGTCATAAAACGGACCATGTAACAGTGTTGATAATATATATGTATGTATGTATGTATGTATGTATGTATGTATGTATGTATGTATGTATGTATATACTGTATGAAACAATTCTGAAGTAATTTGTAGTTATTTTATAAACGTGCCCAACTTTGGGTAAGAGAAAAGCCTCTGTCTTTTTTTAGTTTTGTATATCTATTTGTAAACAGATGGATAAACTTGCAATGGAATTGGATCAGAATCGTGACCTTAGTTGTACTATTGTACACATTGACATGGATGCCTTTTATGCAGCTGTAGAAATGAGAGACAATCCTGAATTAAGGGACAAGCCCATAGCAGTGGGTTCACTGAGTATGCTGGTAAGAAGAAATGCACCATTTACATGCTTGCATAGAAAACACAGATATGACTTCATTGTATACAAGTTCCTTATTTCTAAATGTGTGATAATAGGGAAACAAAATAAAAATTATTTTTGCAAATTCTGTAAAAATGTTTTCTTTAGATTAATATTTTGCCTTTCCTGTTCTTGTTCATCACTTGGTGCTACAGTTTTAAGTAAAATAGTTCTTTGGTTTAACTTACAACATGGTAGCACAAATATGGTTTGTGTCATTAGTGCAGGGTCAAACTTGATTTCATTCAGGGTTCTGTTATGACCTCTGGGGGATGGGTGGCCGTGGTCAGGGTGGGTGTGGCCAGCTCGACATCACTCATGTCGGGGCTGCTTGTGGTGGCCCGAGTGCTCTGCCAGCAAAAATAGGCTCCCGAGCTCTGTTTTCTGCTGTGATGGCCTCCTGCAACTTTTGCCAATAAAAAAGGAGCTCGGGAGGGCCACGTGTGATCCTCCTGAGCTCCATTTTCTCTAGCAGAGGCACTGCAGGCCACTCCTTTGCTGTTTCCAGGATGTCTTCACAGGCCATATCTAAGCACCCCATGGGCTGGAATTGGCCCCCAGGCCTTAAGTTTGACATCCCAGCTCTAATGTGACTCTAGAACAGAGGTGGGTTCCTACCAGTTCGCACCTATTCGGTAGAACTGGTTCGTCAAATCTACCGAACCGGTTAGAAGAGGTTCCACCAGTGGACCCGGAAAGCAGGCCACACCTACAGAAGAGGTTCCAGAAATTTTTGAAACCCACCACTGGCCCTTGGATATGATTATTCTACACTATAATGCTCATATTTATAAAACTCAATGCCTCTGTGAAAGGTAAGGATGACTACTGCGTTTGTGGTGCAATCAGAACATTGCATGTGATGAAGTTGTTTTAACGCAAAAGGCAAAGATGCCTTTTAAAAAACAAGTTTACATCATATTCTTATGCATGCCAGTGCTGTGTGTGAGGTAATTTAAGGTGGTTCTGACAAGTGTCGTCGGCATCTTCATATCCGGTCACATGGGCGGCAAGCCATTCCCACAAAGGAGGCCACACCCACAGAGTAGGTTTGAACAATTTTTGAAACCCACCACTGCTCTAGAACTATTTACACTGTTCTAGCAGTTTCCTGGGAGATTTCCCTACCCTCCCTTAAAGAGCTGGGAATTGAATATTTGATATTTGCATGAAGAGCACTTAGAACTATAATTTAAATTAAATAGAATAACTATTCTGGTGGAAAATTCTACTTGTTAGGGTTTTTTATAAGTCAAAACAAGATACAATGGGGTTTTGAAGGTTGGGCACAAGATGGAACTAGAGGGTAACAAAGAGTACAAAGAATGGAACAAAATATCATAACATTGAGTTTTCAGGTGGAAATTTATAAATTTCTTTGAAATTATTGGATATCAATGATAGATGGAATGTTAAAGAAGTAACAAAAGAAAAACAAGCTATTCTAGTTGTGTTTGAAGTTGATTTGTGGATATAAATGTGACAAGTAGTGAAAAGGATATCGAAACATGTACAAGTGAAACTGGTTGTGATGGAATGTAATAGTCTGAATTCCCAGAAGGGAGGGGCTGCATTCCAGAAGAATGAAAGGCAGCTCAGTCCAGATATTTTTTTGGAAAAGAGGGTGAAAACAGCCCTCTCCTAATAGTTCTTGGAGTATATGATAGATGCAGATGTTTTAGTTTATTTTAGTTTGGGAAGATTCTGTAGGTAGGTATGGAATAATGTACTGAGCTTGGAAGAATCACTACATGTCCTCCTTGGTTCTCTGGGCCTGATGTTGGTTAATGTTTCATTGCCTAAAAGAAATACAAAACTACTAAACGAAATACACACACATACACATCCAAAATCCAAAAATCTCATCATTTGTTCCTTATCAGCAACAGTTCAGTAAGGGATGCTGGATATTATTTATCTTGATCACTTTTTTTTCATGGATGAACAAAACTCATCTGTTAAACTCTTGAACAACTTTTTGAGAAATAATCAAGGTAGATAATATCTAGCATCCTTTACTGAACTGTTGCTGATAAGGAATGAATGATGAGGTTTTGGGATTTTGTTTTTAATAAGAGATGAAATATGGGGTGAAAAGTATATATTATAATGTAAGAGATGGTCTTCAGACCCCTTGTCATCTTTGTTGCTCTTCTCTGTACTCTTTCCAGGATCAAAGAATCTTTTTTGTACTGTCATGACCAAAACTGGATGCAATATTCCAACGTTGGTATCGCAAGTGTGGTATAAAGCGGTACTATCATTTCACGTGATTGTGAAGCAGTTTTGGACTATATTTACTTTTTTGTAGCTGTAGCACACACTGCTGGTTCATATCCAAGTGGTAGCCCACTAGGACACCTAGAGCCTTCTTTTGACACTACTGTTGAGCCAAGTGCTGCCTATTCTGTACCTGTGCATTTGGTTTTTCCTGCCTAAATGCATGACCTTACTTTCTTTACCACTGAACTGCATCTTGCCATTGGGATAGGGCCTGATGCTCAAGTCCCACAAGAGCCTTCTAAATTGTGAAGTTTTATTTTCTGAAGTTTTAGCAGTTCCACCCAGCTTGTTGTAATCTGCAAATATGAGCATCCCTTCAATCACATCATCAATCCCCCCCATCTTTAAAACAGAGTCTCTTTAAAATGGAATGCTTTTCTAATCAGAGTTGATTTCACACTAGAAGCTAATTTCCATGTTTAAGTAGTACTTGAATTAATTATTAAGTTTTCCTAACAGCTTTGTAATCTAGTTGTAATACAATCCATTTTAAAAAGCTTTTTTGGTTAAAAAAAAAATCATGGTTTTGTCTTTTTTAAGTCCACTTCAAATTACCATGCTAGAAGATATGGGGTACGTGCAGCTATGCCTGGATTTATTGCAAAGAAACTTTGTCCACATCTTACTATAGTACCATTAAACTTTAAGAAATATGAAGAAGTAAGTAAACAGGTATGTGATACATTTGCATATAGCTGAATGTATATTAGTTTAATTATTTTAATTTGTCTGCAGTTCACCTAAAATTAAAAATGGTTACACTTTTCCCGTTATTCCATATACTATTAACTTTGTTTCCCATAATTAATAAATTATGTGGTTGGATGTTGTGGATTTTTTTCATGTTTGTATTATGCTAACAAATTGTTATAGGTTTCCAGAGAATAATTATACTTCTTGTTCATGAGTGATTGAAGCATAGTCTGAAGCCTCTGTAATATTATTGGTTTGCTCTGCATTCAGACTGAGATCATTTTGTCATTTGGGGGACTTGTGTCTTAGTATTGAGTTAAGTCACCTTCTGTTAATAGTAATGGCTACATCATCACTGCTATGAATTTCTTACCTGCAAAAAGAAACAGACACTTTCTGATTTGAAGTGACATAGAATTTCAGTCCATTTTAATATGCTGATACCCAAAACATTACTGGTCAATCTTCACTCTGACATCAAGTTTATTATGGTTCATAGTTCTGACATCTCATAAAAATTGTGTGCATATCTTTGTAGCACTGAACTAGGAGTATGCATTCCCATAGTATATCTTTAACATCATTAAGAAATACAGTCTGTTTTATTACTTGCTGTTAAAAGGATGAGACAAAATAAAATAACTGAGACACCCATCCCTGGGAGCAGCCAGTTTGAACATCTCATAGGGAGACATTTCTGTCTTAAAATATTTTAACTATCCAGTTTTTTATTAGATCCCTCATTTTATTACACTGAGAACAAGTTTTTCTTGTTAATAGCATACCTTCAGTGAAATTTGATCAAGATGCTATAGTTAACAGGCAATGGAATAAAAAATACTCTTCAATAATTGACCTTCCTCCCTGATATATGATCGATCCATGATGTATGCCAAATGTTATACAGGTAGTCCTTGACTTACAACNTAGGCATTTGTATTCCCCTAGGCCAGTGATGGTTAACCTTTTCGGCAACAAGTGCTGAAACTGGAATGCGCACGTGCCAGAGTGCGAGAACCCAGAAGAGAGCAGCTGGTCAGACAGTTGTTCTTCACACAAAGACCAGCTGGCTGGCATGCATGTGTGTGCCAGAACCCAGAAGAGAGCAGCTGGCATGCTGGATCAGCTGGTCAGTGGGCATGCGTGCAACAGAACCCAGAAGAGCAGCTGGCAATGGTGCACATGCCCACAGAGAGGGCTTTGCCTACCACCTCTGGCATGCATGCCACAGATTCGCCATCACGGCCCTAGGCCAAGAAAAATGATGCCACTAGGATCTTTCCCGGTACCCAGAGAGTACGGGGGTTTGGATAGGATAGGCTTTAGTTCAATCATGGCAAGACTAGTTAATGGCTCTGGGTTTTAAGGCCACCTGATTCTGAAGATTTTGAGGGTCACTGAGTATAACAAAGATTTTGTTTTGATTTGGAGATTTTCTATTGTTAACTCTGCCTGACTACAGGTAGTCCTCAAGTTACAACCACAATTGAGCCCAATGTTTCTGTTGTGAAGTGAATTTTGCCCCATTTTACGACCTTTCTTGCTTCAGTTATTAAGTGAAATGCTGCAGTTAATAACCTGGTTGTTAAGTGAATCTGGCTTCCCCATTGACTTTGCTTGTCAGAAGGTCATAAAAGGGGATCACATGACTTTGGGACACAGGTCATAAATATGAACCTGTTGCCAAGCATCTGAATTTTGATCACATGATCATGGGGATGCGGCAAAGGTTGTAACTGAAAAATGGTCATAAGTCACTTTTTTAGTGATGTTGTATTTTTGAACAGTTACTAAATGAGCTGTTGTAAGTCGAGGACTACCTTTATGCATTTCTACGGTCAGCGTTGGTGTGCAATTTGGGGCTCCACCTGGACTCACATCTCTTGTTCAAAAAGCAGGTGACTGCTATGGCTATTTCTCGACTCTCAAATTACAATTGCATTGTTTCTTGATGCTTTCTTAGTCCTCTTATTTAAACAATCCAACTTCATTGTTCCTTATAGCAGAACATTCATTTATTTTATTATTTTCAGACGTGAACTTAACTTTATTTTTCGTGTCTTCAAAGGATTCTAATTCCAAGTGGTGTCAGATGTGATGCAGTAAAAATGAACAGTCATGAATGAAAACTACTAGCCCAGATAAATGTCAATCTGACATTAAAGTTTTGGGCTATTTCATGCAAATTGTTGTTGGGATTTCTGCTTAATCAAATCACAGGTATGATTGCACTAAAAAAAAGGCTACACAATTATTATAATAAGTTAAAGCCTAATATAAAGCAAGCCTCGTAAACCTTTTAACACAGGCAAGCTAATCACAACATATTTTTTCTGTATCTCCTGGAGCAGCAGGAGGTTGAAACTAACAAAACTAACAAAAAATTATGTTCTAACATGATTCTTCTAAATTGCAAAGTTCCAGTGATAGAAAGAAAAGGTCCAATAGTGCAAGAGGATTATATCGTATGAGGTGCTTGTGGACTCATGCCTAAATTCTTGGAATAGTTAGTCTTTGTATAGTGGGACAAAACATCTTTCATTACCGCTTCAGCATTTTATTAAAACTCAGAGTCCTTAGGAAAAGATCATCATTGTGAAGAATATAATGTATCTGAAAAATAACATAATTCAGCAGAATAAATAACTTGAAATAATAACTAATCCTAACAACCGAGTTGCCGGTTCCAAGTGTGGTCACTAAAAGAGGACTTCCTGTAAACTATCATTTAAGTCATTTTGCCTTGTGATTTAAAATAATGAAATCCATTATGTAAATTAATGTTGCAGTCCAGGTGTCTAAATATACGCCGAAATAAGACTATATGGTGGGTTTTATTTTTCAAATTTACAGATTATCCAGATTATTGTGTAACAGAGAATTGGTACCCTGACAGTCTTGCACTATTGTTTTTGAAACAGCCATAAAATTATGCAATACCAGTGTCATCATCTGCCTATATATTTCCTATAATGTTTGAAATAATTTCTGTCCAAAAGAAAGACACCAAGTGGCCATATATTAATACAAGTAGTCCTTGACATGACCACAATTGAGCTCAAACTTTCTGTTGTTAAGTGAGACATTTGTTAAGTGAGTTTTGCCCCATTTTATGACCTTTCTTGCCACAGTTGTTAAGTGAATCACTGCAGTTGATAAATTAGTAACCCTGGTTGTTAAGTGAAGCTGACTTCCACATTGATTTTGCTTATCAGACAGTCACAAAAGGTGGTCACATGACCCTGGGACACAGCAACTCATAAATATGAACCATTTGCCAAGCATCTGAATTTTGATCACATGATCATGGGGATGCTACAAAGATCATAACTGTGAAAAATGGTCAGAAGTCACATTTGTCAATGCTGTTGTAACTTTGAACGTCAGTAAACAAACTGTTAATAAGTCAAGGACTGCCTATATCATATTTTGGGGACTACATTTCAATTAGGTGAATCCATCTTTCCAAAAAGATACTCTATAAACGCAATAGACATGAAGTAGTTTTGGTTGAATTGTAATTGTCAATATTTAGAAACATTATATATATGATGGCAATTTTTTATTTATTTATTTGTATTTCACCTTTATTTTTACAAATAACTCATGGCAGTGAACATATCCAACATTCATGCCTTTTATTTTTCCCACAACAACTCTGTGACGTTGGTTGGGGAGAGAGTGTGAGTGGCCCAAGATCATTTAGTTTGCGTTCATGACTAAAGTTATGCTATTGATATTGTTATTGATACTGGTTCTATGTACTCTTATTGTTTTTATTTTTTTTATTTACAAATCATTATAAACATATTTATTATATACATGTGATTAAAACAACAACAAAAATTCCAACATTAAACCTTCTAGTTATAAGAGAAAATTCTAAAGCCGCCTAGTTCTGCTGGCTTCATATCTATCTGAAGATAATTTAACCAAAAACATTGCTACTTTCCACTTGTTTGGCAAATAATATTGCAATTACTAAGATAAATTAATAAAAGATAGTAAATGAAAATAAGATTTTCCCAGGTTCCCAACTGAATATATTTCTGTTGTTAAAAAAATAATGTAACGTTGGGTGCATGTGTAGATAATTCTGTTATATTATGATGATGTGAGAGTGTCAGCAATAGAGTCTAAAATATGCAGTTTTTCTTTTTCAGGGTAATAACTGAGAAACTGTTTGCCTGGGATTGTACAATGGAAAATGCAGACCAAGATAATGCCTCTTCTAGAGAAGGGTTACTTCTTAGGATGGGTCTTAATGATAACAAAGCTGGAATGCAAGGGCTGAATAAAGAGAAGATCAACAAAATCATAATGGAAGCCTCCAAGGTTTGTTTATATCAGATTTTAAAAAATGAACAAAGGTTGTAGTTATTCACATTGGCTTTATTCAGTAAAAAATGTAGGGTATCTACCAACATGGTATAGATAATAGGCATGGTCATTACAATTAATGTTAAAATTAAGTTGATAAAGTTACTGCACATTACTACACAAGTTTGCTTCATATCATATTTTACACTATAGTAATAAGCTTATATTCAAGAACAATCATATTTTAATTTATATACCCAGCCAACTTTAGACAAAACTAATAATAGTGTATTTCAGTATCCTTCAGAATCAGTGGGACAGTTTAAATAATTGATTTAAGACTGCAATCTTCTGGTCAGTACCTAAATATTGGTACAAAAATACGGTAATAAAATGATCGTTGGCTTACCTGAATGGTCGTTCTCTAGGCNTGGTTTGGGTTCCACACACTTGGAAAGGTATTTTATACAAAATGTACTTATCCTTATTTTACTAGTTTTCTAAATATTTCATTAATTGGTTGCATTTCACATGAAATTAATAACTATTATTCAAGTTTATCAGTAATCTAGCCTAGTTTTTATTCTAATTCCCAGTAGAATTTCAGAATCTTAGGGCTTTCCTTCAACTCTCCCAAGATTTTTAAGCCTAAAATAGATCACATATATTTGTAACTTTAAAATATATTCAGTGAAGTACTTCAATTTTCAATATTGAAAACTATTTTGAAATTGTTGAGTAAATTCAGTTCCATCACGTACTAACAAAAGATAAACTTTCTTATAAAGACAGAGTGATATTGAATAATTACATAAAATGATGACATTTACTAATATTTCTTACCTTTGCTTTATCCTGTTTTTCAGACCACTGTTTTTGTCTAATTTTGAATAATTATTTTTCCATTGCTTTTTTCCCCTCCATGATGCATATGTGACTGCACATAAAATTTGACACTTACTTTATTGGGAAGTAACCTTTGAAATTTAGCACTCTTGAACATTTTTTCTTTTTTTTAAGGGACGGGGAAAGAAAAAGTATGAGTACAGAAAGGTATGTACTCAAATGTATGGTATATCAAGTATAAACATCTCACCTCTTGCATTTAAATATACTTTGTCGGGTTTTTTTCCCCCAGTGATGCAAAAAACACCAATACAATGCCAAAAATTTACCAAATAAAGTTTGGTGTTACCTGAATTATGGTTTAGCTTATTTGTTTGTTCATTTATTTATTATTTAAGTGTATTCATTGCCCAACATTCATAAACAGAAGAAGCATTCGTAAGTAGAAAAACCATAAAAGCAGCTAAAACTCTGTCCACATAAAGATAATAGACAATTAATCCAAATACTGGTACCAGCACACTTTTCCCATCATGTAAAAGAGATACTGATTCTTTGGAAATAAAAATTATGGTATGTAACTGAAACTCTTTTGAGACATTCTTCTAGAAATCTTTCTTCCTATTAGAACAGTAATACCAAATATAATTATTGTGACTGTGCCAAGAAGACCTAAGATAAAAATAGAATTTTCCCTCCATGTCTAGATATGCTGCTTCCATCAGTGACAGGCTTCTGATACAGGAGAAAAGTTCAACTGATCCAGACAGAGGAAGATTTGATTTTCATTGATTTCTCTTCCTTAATAAGTTGTCTATACCCTTTGAAAATCTGAGTGTTAGGTAATCCTCTGAAATAGTGGAGAAGATACCAAGAAATTGTGATCGTTCTCTTGACCCAACCCCTAAGAAGCTTCATGAGCAGAACTTTATTCAATGAATAGTTCCTTCAAGTAGAATTAAATATTGGATTTCCAAAGAACCAAAATTTATTTTTCGTTGTCTAGGTTTTTTTTTTTTAAAGTCATTATTGGGTATTTTTAATACATTAAAAGATTTAAACTGGATCAAGACTATTTTTTAATAATTAGATCCGATTGAAATAATTGTAAAACCAGTGTCTAACTTTAGTGCAAATTAAATCCAATTGTAAATCTGACCTCCACTATTAAATGGAAGCTGGATTGTTACATTTGTCCCAAAGCTTAACTTCCTTTTGATATTTACCATAACAAACACATGAAATCATATTGTGGTTTTTAATTTTTGTGTAGTAAGTATGTAGCATCTATTGCAAGCTGAAACATTCATTTTTAATGATGCAGTGGATTTAAAGAACTGTTTTTGTATTTAGGTATTGTTCAATAGATTTTGCAAATATTTTCTGCTTAGTTTAAACTTGCTTGGATAATCTCTCAAGGACAGAACATGCTGAGGTTTTCTTCTCTCTTGGCAGGACGTTTAATGAAATAAGTGCATCAGAACAATACAGGTTATGTCAAGAACTCTGCAGTGATCTTGCTCAGGATTTGACAAAGGAAGGACTTAAAGTAGGTAACTTTATACCTTCTGTAATTTCTCCTGTTTATTAGCCATCAGATCTTCTATATTTATTGGTGTATTGTTTTGGTGGGAAATACTTTTTATTTCTCTGCATTCCTCTTGGTTGTAGGAATTTAGATAGAACAGAATTTATGCTGAGGGTGAAGATGATTTGTTAGATTTGCAGGCAGTCACTGGGTTAAAAATGAGTTCAGTTCCTAAGGTTAACTTGGGAACTTTAACTTTAACTTTCTTTAACTTAAATTTATATATAAGCCAGAACATGTACTTATGAATGGACGGCCTATTAATAAAAATAGTATATGGCCCCCGTTCTCCTTCATTGAGCTGATCTTCCTCTTCACCCTTACTGCAAGACACTTCCCACCAGGAGCTATAAGGGCTATAGATCATTGGTAGACATTTGGCTTTTCAGTGTTGATTTCTGAGGTTTAATTCCTAGCTGCAAAATATTTCATTGAAATTCAGGAGAAATGTTAAATGAAGCAATGGTTTGGACTCAGTTTACGGTAAGTTGCAGTGTTTCTATGCAAGAACATGGAGACTTATTTCTTGAATGACGAAACTTATAAAAAAAGCGGTGTTGCCAAATAAGCAACTGAAAATAAATAGAAGGAAAGGGAACTAGTATTGCAAAAATGACTTAACTCTCTTGGAAGTTCACTTCTCAACTAAAAAAAAAAGCCTCACACTCTTTTTTTCTATTTGTTTTTACCAAAAATTCTAGTTGAGCATTAAAAATTAAGTCTGTTTCTATTTGTATAGATCTGCTCTGGCTTTCATTTTTTTGGACATGATTGCATATGATGAATCAGAGTGCAGAGAATTTTTGTAAGATTTGAACTGAACAAAACGAGACATTAAAATAAAGTTGCTTAACAGTCTTAAATATAAAGAAATAATGAAGATAAGATACAATTTCTGTATTTCAGAATGTAGAAGCTTCATAAAAATTATCTGTTGTTTTTAATAGGCTAGAACCATAACTTTAAAACTGAAGAACGTGAACTTTGAAGTGAAAACAAGAGCTAATACAGTACTTTGTGCAGTTTCTACTGAAGATGAAATATTTGCTATTGCTAAAGATTTACTTAAATCAGAAATGGAGATTGTGGCCCCAGAACCTCTACGTTTAAGATTAATGGGTAAATATCATTTCATATAATTATGCTGATTAATGGCTTGCATGATTATGCCAGTTATTGCTAGTTATTTGAGTGAAATGAAAGCTTTGATCAATAAGAATAAGCAATTGCTATTAAACTTTGTTCTTATATGCTTCTATTATACCTTTACAATTAAATGGTTACTGATAGTTCCTCAAATCAGTATTTCTTCACTATTAATTGTTAGAATATACATTTAAAATATCATCCTTTACTGTCTCCTTCAAAAAACAATTGTATTATTAACACTTTCCTATTATCAATTGGTGCTTCACATATTGCCTCATTACTTAGTTTTTATCCAAATTTAAGCATGTGAAACTGAATGGGTAAAAATGTGTTTCTCTCTGTCTCCATTGCTACCATGATACTTCTAGGGTAGGTTGTTCCAATGGGGAATCATTCCTATATATGTCTATGTGAAGCAGACTGCAATTCAGCATTTGTTGTTTTGATTATATTTTTAAACACTTATCTTTTTGTGGATTGTCTGTCATATTCAGGTGTAAGAGCATCAGGTTTTTTAACTGAAGAAGAAAAAAAATACCATCAGAAGAGCATTGTTAATTTCTTAGGACCAGGAAAACAAGCCTGTGCTTTTAAGAAAGCTGTCAACATTTTCCCAAAAGCATCTGAAGGAGAAAGCTTTTTCAATAAAAAGAGAGCTACACGACAACAAACCAATCAAGGGATATTTTTAAATGAATCTTCAAACAAGAAGAGTCTACAAGATACAATGTCAACAATAGCTTCAGGAGATCAAAGAAAGGATGAGGAACATCAGATCTTTATTTGCCCTATTTGCTTTGAGGAGCAGCAAGATAGCACTTTAGAAACATTTAATAGACATATTGATATGTGCCTTAGTGGAACAAAAGAAAAAGAAAATGCAGAAATTATTGATAATAGCAAATCATGGAAAAATGATCCTCCTGTGGATATGGAAAAAAAAGAAGAGATACAAATTAAAATAAGTAAACCACCAGTGAATGAACAGTCAACCAATATAACTGATTGTGGTTCTGCAAATAGCAAAGATGTTTCATCTAAATGCCTAGTTCATAAACAGAATGAGAATGGATGTGGTGCTTCTAATGCTTCGGTATCTGAAATGCATGCTAAGGATGATTTGTTAATAGATAAAGAAGCCTTGTTAATAGATAAGGAAGAGTCAAATTGCTCAAGAAGTAATTTGCAAAGTTTTTCTGGCATTAATGAAAATGTTTTTGTTTGTCCAGTTTGCAACATAGAACAAAAAACAAATGATCTTGCCTTGTTCAATAGGCACGTGGATATTTGTTTAAACAAAGGCATTATCGAGCAGTTGACAGAAAAATCAGGTAACGGTGAGCTTTTTACCAATCATTTAAATAAAAACTTGAAAACTCATCTTTTTGGAATGTTAAACAAAGTGCAGAACACAAATTTCTATGAGGTTTCTATAAAGGAGTTGACTGTTTCTCAATTTTGTGTAGAAAGTGGCTGATGTTTCTTTCTGTAGAAAAATAAAAGGTATTTTGTCTGTTGTAATAATTTAATTTTTAAATGCAGGAAACAAACATTGCTGGGCTCTTGTCATACACAGATTATGCACAGGAGCTATGCAACACTCTGCCCTCTATAGCTTATTTGTTATTGGAAGTATAGAGTATCTGCATAATTGTTAGAAGGGCAAATATTTATTTTTCCTACCCAAGCAAAAATGATATAAATAGGGGGAAAGAATAAAATAACTATAGAAAAGTCCCGGTTTATGTAAGTTTATGAACAGTTTATGAACAATTTCTGTGGAGGAGGAGAAGAAAACAATAGTAGATGTTTTTGTTAATTCCCATTTGTTTATCATAATTCTACTGAAATACATTTTTGCTTTCAGTTTAAAAATGTTAAGTATTTTTCCCTCCAGAAATCTTAGATAGAGGACAATATAATACAAACCTTTCAGCAGGAACAAAAAGGTAAGCTCTGAGTGAGTTTTAATAGAATATTTGAATATTTAGAATATATTAATGTCAAAACATTTTGTTGTTGTGACTGTTTATTTAGTAATGCATGTTCTTTTTCTTTTCAGATCTGGAACAATAGTTCCCCAGTCAACATCCAAAAAAGTCAAGTCAAGCAATCCTAAGTGCACCATAGAATCATTTTTCAAATGAACACAATGAATTATTAATTAATTATTGTTATGGTACTGAGGTTTAGAATAAAATATGTCACTTGGACCTTATGTATTGTGTATAAATTATGTAACTTTAAAGAATTATATAAAATATAATTATATAAAGTTATAGATTGTATTACTTATGTATATTGCATATATATGATTTTTCATCAGCTAACCCATCATTTTATTTTGGATGTGCAACCTCATATTTTAAATAATGCGTGAAATGTATGGAAGTTGACATTTAAAACTGATAAGCATATTGTTATTTATTAAGGAATGTTAAGCACTTTTAAAAGCCAGTTCTTCTTTGAATAACATGATGGTAATGGCTGTTATCTTCACAACTCTTACATAAGAAGGGAAAGGGAAAAAATTGATTTTATTTAAAAATTAATGGTAATCATGTGACCTTGGGATACTGCAACTGTTGTTAAATACATACCAGTTGCCAAGCTCTCAAATCATGATTGCGTGACCATAGGGATGCTGCAATGGTCATAAATGTGAGGGCCAGATGTTAGTCTAGACAAATGGTTGTAAGTTGAGGACTACAATGGTAACTCAGTACTTGACTGTTACAAAACTCATTGAATTTGGTATTCATTGTTCATTTGGTACTCGTACAATGAAAATGTCCCGATTCTCATCGTTTGTTTGGTACTCAACGCACTGTGATAGGAAAAGGAGGAGAGTCACAAAGAGCAGATACTAAGTTAGCCATGCTGGGAAGATTGCTGCAAAAGGAAGAGGGGGGCGACTGCAGAGAGCAGACAGGAAGTCGGTCATGCTGGGAAGATCACAGATATAGGAAAAGGGACAGACAGAAAGTCCTTTCTGGCTGAAACAAAGAGTCATGTGGTAAGTCATAAGTGTTGTTTGGCACTCATCATTTTTAGTACTCATTGTACCTCCCAAAACAAATTAACAATGAGTACCAACGTATCATTGTACTTGTATTTACTTACATTTTAAATTGTTTCCAAAAATAAATTGTTATATAATATAGACTTACATGAAGTTCAAATTGTAATTGAGCACAAGCATCATCAGTGTGATGCAGTTGCTAAAAAGATAAATGTAATTTCATGTTGCATCCCTAAAAATCTTTTTTGCATTTCAGGAAAAAATTGGTCCAATGTATTCTGTGTTGGCCAGGTTCCATCTTAAGTAACCCCCTTGTGCCCAGGTATCAGACAAATTCATAGAACATGGAAGAGATATAGAGAAATGCAGTGAAGATAATCAGTAAATCGGAAAATAAGCCTTAAGAGGTGAAATGGAAATGAAGAGAAGAACATATATTAAGTGTCGGTGGGAGGGAGCAGATTCATTTGCACTTTTAAAGTACCTGAAGGAGGTTACATAGAAAATGAAGGTGTATGTATCAATGCAAGACATCGAATAAATGATCAAAGTAATAGGAATTCAGATTCCTGTTAAATGAGATAATTTTCTACTAGTAAAAAATTAAGTGAAGTTCATTGAGGGAGTCAATTACCATGGGACCTAGTGAGTCTGAACTTTCCTTTAAACAGAATCTGGGGGTCTATTATTTCGAAATCCTGCACTGAGACGGATTCCATGGTCTAAATGAAGCTGGCAAATTTATGATTCTGTGGAGTTTGTGTGCTTTAAAATAATTTAATTTGTAATTTATTCAATGTAATTTATTTTGCTAAATAATTTTAATCTAAGATGCATTTTCCCAAAAATTGTGATACCAAGTTTTTTTTAACTGTAAAACTCAAGATAAAGATTTTAGCAGAAAAGCACATAATAAATACACATTAATAAAACTGTAGTTTGCATTTTCTGTATTAATCATAAAGATACTTGTTTCAGTTTTTCCAATTCTGTATGTCTGGTTCATGCTTTAGTCTATTTTATTCAATTTACAATCAAAGACTAAATTAATGCTTCACTGCATTAGTCTTCAGCTGAGTTTCTCAACCATCTTAAGCCAGTCAGTGCATGTGTAATTTTGTTAGGTTAAAAGGTTGGCTTCTGAGTGCTGGCTAATCACAGAATGTTCATTTATTAGCAAGTGAAACAGTGAGGCTCTTCTATAACACCACCTCTAGAAACTGTAATTGACTTTATACAGCAGTCTGTTCTGCTTATATTTTCAGGATAATAGGACACACTTTCATATTGGGGATATTTTACAGGCATCTGGAAAATAAAATAGTTGCAAAATGGAAAAGCTGCAACAATTTCTGAACAGTCAGACAGCAACATCCTGGGGTGCTGATATTAACACCCTATGAACAACAGCCTTGGCTTTGTCCCAAAGGTGCTTTTTGAAGAGTCGCCTTTGATGCCTTCAACTCTGAAGAAGCTTCTTGGATGAGAACCAAAAGAAGATTTTTGGATGAGAAGTGAAACGTCTTCAAAGGAAAACAGGAAAGTCCAGTTGCCACTTGAAAAAAAACAAACCTTTGGGACAACCACAACCTGGATGACAGAATCTCCATAGGCATTGTCTTGGCTTGTCATACTCCACAGCAGCATATTGTGCCAGCATGTGGCTTAATGGAGACTACACCCAAATGGTTGATGTCCACCAGACAATATGTATCATCTCTGGCACATTGTGTCCCATTCCTATGCATTGATTAACATACTTAACAACATCATACCACCCACATTAGAAGACAACAAGCTCTCATTTGGCTATGGTCAAGGATGCTGATTAACAGGCCTTCCGTATTCACCAGAGCAATGTACAGTCCATCACAAGATTGAAATCCCATTGGCCAGCATGGAAGACAACTATTTACTGAATATCTACCCAGTTTAACCTGTGAATGCCTGGCGAGAGGAATAGGCCAAGGTACCTTCTTAGGGCTTAACCATTAGCGATCACTCTACCAAGCCATTTGGTTTTGACC